CTGACATCTTTGCTCTTCAACACTTTAAAAGGGTCTCGTGTAGCAGATTTGAGGAATGCAATACATCATTTGATTTCTTGACTGCTGCTTTCATGAATGTTGATGGTTGCTCCAAGAAGAATGAAGTCCTTGACAACTTCAATCTTTTCTCCATTGATAAGAATGTTGTTTAAGGATTATAGGCTTGAAAACCCTATGGAACAGTTCTACTATGTCTGGTAGGATCCCTATGAGTCTGAATCAGTATTTCAGCAATGGATAAACTGGTAAGTTTTTCAGAATACCAACTAACATCTTAATGGCTCTCAGAAGAATATGGGAAACATTGATGGAGAGTAGCAGAATGGAAGTTATCCTGAGCAGAACCAAAGAGGCAGGGTAGAATAAGGTTGGTAGGAAGTGAATGGGAATGAACTTTGTGAGGAGAATTAAGAGAGATGAAAGGTTTACACATGAGGCAGACTGATCGTTAACCATCTCAGAGTGTTTTGACAGGAAAGGGCTTGTTTGTTTTCAAGAACCTTGTATCCATGCCACTGTGATTTCCTTTGAGACAGCACTAGGTTAACACTGAGCTATCATTTTCTCCTCCACTTTCCTAGCCTTGCCACTTTCAGTGTTCATGATGCTAGTGACATTGGAGCTAGCCTAGACTGGCTGGCTTCTGGAGTGAAATTCTTTGCTTTGCTAAAATGACCATGCTGATGCCTGCTGTTGCTTTCCCTTAGATCTGTAGCTGAGCTTTTGCAAGAGCTGGCAGGCTGTGTTGATGGAGTTAGTCCCAGATCATTCCTTTGGGCTTCAGGTCATAGTTTCTCATGGTTCTTTTGGCTAGACGTGATCTCTCCATCATCTGATTTCCGACAGTAACTGTGTCTCAGGCAGCAACAGCAGCAACAACAGCATCATAATCTTCATCGCTGACATTTTTTGAACACTTAATATTCAGTGGGCTTAGTAATGGATACCGTATGGGCACAATCTCATTTAATCCCCACCACCATCCTTTGGAATAGATGCTACTCTGCAGATGAGGAAATAGGCATAGAGAGGACATGGTCAACCAGCTAGTAGATGATAGGATTGCAAATCAAATCCAAGTCTGACTCTAGAACTGTTGTACTTCACCTTCACTTTCTGTTGCTTCTGGTATGGTATTTATGTATTATTTGTACATTTGTCTTTATATGTTTTTTCAGAATTCACACTGTAATTTTGGCATTTCTAATAACAAGTGGACTCTTGGGGTGGCACGATAGGATCAGCAATGGACAGCGAACCACAAGATCAGCAGTTCAAACCCACCAGCCACTCCTTAAAAAACTTACACAGGGTCACTGTGAGTCGGAACTCACTCAATGGCACTTAACAACATCAGTGACAAGTAGCACAGTGTTTTGTCCATGGAAAGCACTTGATACATAATTGCTGAACAGAGAAATTAATAACTGGGAGGATGAGTGAGATAGTGAATTGGCAAGTGATTTTCCTGAGTCTGAAAATGACATAAAATGACTCAAAGTTGTAAGATTATCCTCTTACTCTTCCCAGAATCATTTTTTGTTCTTTAGTCTTCTAGTTTCTTCTGAATTCTAGATACCATCTAAAATGGTAAAATAATCATGGATTGTCAGGTGTATGATTTTGAGGAGCTGGGGGGGTTACATTGGGTGACTGGTCCAGCCCTCATTTTCTTGACAAAGGCTAACTTGTTAATGTCTAGGATGTGAGGGCTCTGAACCTTGGTCTTCTTCCATCATTCTAGAGCTGAGTCTGAGGCAAACAAAGGATGATTTCTGTCCTAATGCCCCTTTGTCTGTTTTTACAATTCTAATTATATATACCAAGATAAGAAAAAAAATTATTATTACTACTAGAATATCAGTTCATACATGCATGGGTTTATTCCCAATAAAATGTGTTTAAATGTGACTCTCGGTCAGTGGATGTCTGCAGACAACTTCTCTCAGTAACAAACTTGTCTTACTAGTCTAGTGAAAGTACGGTAAAAAAAAAAAAAAGAATGCCTGCCAACAATGTGATGTGAATATTAGCTAGCTCAGAGAGTGGATCTCTCTCTCAGTCTTCTTAGCATCTCTCTCAGTCTTCTGAGCAATATTGAAGCTAATGACAGTTTGGTGAAATGAATCGTAACTGGGAATGAGTCTTGGATTTGTTAATACAGACCAGAGAGCAAGGTCCAATCAAAGCAGTAGCTTCCAAGAGGATCTGCGAGGCCAGTTAAATTCCAGGCAGAGAGGTCAGCTCAGAAAGTTTAGGCAATGTTTTGGGAATCCCAAAGGGGTAAACTTGATGATTTTCTCAAAGGACACAGGGCAATAACAGGGCCTTATTATGAAGTTTTAAAAATACTGAAGTACACTGGTGAGAGAAGGTCAAAAGAGTTGCTCCAAGGAATTTTTTTGTGACAATGCACCTGTCCATTATTCAAGGGCAGCAAGGGCTGTCCTACAAGACTTTTGTTAGGAAGCCTTACTTCATCCGCCCACAGCCCTGATCTTGTCCCTTCAGGCTTCTTTGTGTTCCCAAAACTCAACGTTTAAAAGAAACACAATTTGAGTCCCTGGAGAATGCCCAAACTGCCATTTTGACAAAATGTAAATAAAAGAATCTAGAATTCTTTGTGGAATGGGTAGAGAAATAGAAACATGACCACCAGAAGTGATAGACCTAGGTGGGGAAGATGTGGTGAAAAAGTAGCTTCCCATTGTTCATATTTTTATTTACTAAAGGTTTCCATGATTTCATAGCTATGCTTTTTCACTTAACCTTTGCATTTAAGTAAGTAATTTTCTCTTGTTAATTTCCTCTGGAGACACAGTTTTTGTAAACTTAGTATGCTGGACACCTAGCTCTTTCATATTTTCATGTATCTTTGCTTCATTCTGACCTTCATTCTAAACCTACCTGAAAGCCCTTTACCTCACCTAGCCCATTTTGCATTTGCTCTTCATCTAAATCTCTTACAAAAGTTACTTCAATGAATCACTAAACAATTTTGATCCATTTTCATTGCTTTCTTCTCCAAACTATTCTTCCATCTCTGGAAACCTCTAAATAAGCAGTTTGGGGCCTTGTTCCTGTTTCATCAATCCTGTCACCAGGCCAGAGTCTGCTTGTTAGTCGCTCAAACAAGTTGTGTTGATTCTGTTGTATCTTATTGTCGTCCAGAGTTTCAGGACTACTCTTACCTCTCCTCCTGCCATCCCATATACCCATGGTCCCCAATTTGCATGCCCCTGTATTTCCCATGATGCCCAAGTTCTTTGCTGTCCTGACCCTTAGTTGCCTATGAGCTCTTGTCCAAATGCTTTCTCAATTGTCAATAACTCCAATCTCCTATCAAGACAGTGTCCTAGCTCAAGTTTGCTTCAACCCCAAACACAAGTTCCTCCCTTCATTCCTAGGCACACTTAATTCAGCACCCCTAACCCTGAGCATCCTTTGATCATTTTCACTCACTGTGTCACAGACTCCCTCATCCAGAAAGGAAGCAGCTCCCCTTTCATAAATATAATGGATTTACCTTAATTTCCTAAACAACAGAACACTGACTTTCTCCCCCTTTCCCAAGAGATTAATTCTGTGACTCCCTCAGAATGTGAAATGGTTACAGTCAGCAGAGGTTGTTTTTAATATCATCTTTTCCATCCTGATTTATTACCTTTTGGGTATTTTATGAAGCTTAAATGCAACAATAGAATTAAATGTGCCTTTGTGGTGCTGTAGGATAAGCATTCAACCTCAAGGTCAGTTTGAACCACCAAGTCAGTGGTCCAAAGTCACCAGGCACTCCTTGGAAACCCTATACAGGGTTTCTATGATTCAGAATCAACTCAACAGCACTTAACAACAACAACAACATATACAGTAGTAAGCCAAACAAACAAGAGACATTATTATTGTCAGGCACTTTAAAAATACTGCTAGTGTTTTATTTCCATGGAAAGAGTAAGACTGAGTACATAGAATATTTGGCTTTGGTTTTCTGATCAGATTCCTGTGTATTGGGAACTAAGAAAAATGCAGCTACGTAAGGAGTTTTATTTACATAAAACAAGAGAAGCAGCAAACCACCGTCTAGCAAGTAGGAGCTGCAGGCAGTAATTTCTCCCTGGCCCTGGGATTATCTGGAGCCAGAGGAGCAATTGCTGAGCCCCTCTAGTGTTTCCAGCAAGTACACCCAGGTACCTGCCTCTCTTTAGAATTCTCCCAGGTCTTAGTTTCCACCTGGCTGATGGTCAGAGCTCCGTCTTGGCCTTCAGCACTGTCCATGAATCTGTGGGTCAGCCTGTGATGGTGCTCCTTCCTGTGTTCTGCCCAGGGACAGGGTGCCTTATCGGAGAGACTCCGGAGCTTCAGCATGCAGGACCTGACCACCATCAGGGGCGATGGTGCTCCTGCTCCACCTGGCCCACCCCCACCAGGATCTGGACGGAGCAGTGGCAAACATGCCCAGCCGAAGATGTCCAGGAGTGCTTCTGAGAGTGCTGGCAGCTCAGGTTGGTGACACTAAGACTTCACTTCTCCCCTCTCTCACCCTCAGGGGTTCACTTTCACCAATCCTTCCTGCCCACCATGTGACACACAACCTGACCCCTGGTCGTGGACCTGCTGCCAACAGAGATGTCTATCAGACCATGTCAGGCCAGCCAAGGGAACCTGTCCTGGGGACATGCTAGGGGCAGGGGTAGAAACAAGTGGTGGTGTCTGACCATCTGATTGTTTAAGGAATTGGAGGGTAGAGCTCTGGTAGCATAGTGGTTACGAATCGGGCTGCGAACCTCAGGGTTAGCAGTTTGAAACTATCAGCGGTTCCGTGGGAGAAAGATGAGGCTTTCTGCTTCCGTAAAGATATACAGCCTAGGAAACCCTGTACATGGTCGCTATGAGTCGGAACTGACTCCATGGCACATTACAACAACAACAGGGTAGTAGTGTCTGGGCCAAGCCTAGAGGTAACAGGTGAAGCTGGACTGGGACCAAGCGAGCCTTCTCTGCTCTCTTCTGATCCCACATTGTCCTGTCAGGTAGGAGCACCTGAGTGTCTCCTGCCACGCACCCATGATGTAGGACTCTCATGGTCCCGTCCCCCGCACCCTGGATAGTTCTTATCCTCTCTCTCACCCCACGGCCGCCTCCTCATCCCTGAGCCCCATTCACCATGCACATTCCCAGACCCCATATACCAAGGGCTGTACTAGCTCTGAAATTGAATTCCTGTGGACACCAAGGCCATAGGGAAAGCACACCTCTACTCCCGGTGTCTGACACAGGGGCTATTGGACCGCCGGCATGAGGTGCCTCAATCAGAATGACCTGAGGACCTTGTTGACCATAGAATCCTGGGCCAGGGCCATAGAAAGACATGTTCAGGCACCTGGCAGAGGACACTGGGACAGTCTTATAATAGCCCCAAGGGGAAAATAATCTACCTGTTTGTTTTATTTCAAAGAGCAGATAGACAAATTGAAGGAAATAATGTACTAAAAATATACATAGTAACAAAGTAAGCAATAAATAGTAATTCACTTCTGGTGTCTGAGTGGTTTGAACCCACGACCTGCTCCTCTGGAATCATGGCTTTCAGCCTCGGTCAAAGCGGTCAGCCTTGGAAAGCTTCTTGGGCAGTTCTGCTCTGCCCTGTAGGGTCACTGTGGCCAGTCGAAATCAACTCGAGAGCAGTGGGTTTGTTGAGGGTTACATTGTCTTCAATATTAGAGTGTCTCCCACAGTGGTGCAGCAGTGAGCTATGCATGGAGCTGCTAATCAGAAAGTCAGCAGTTCAAATCCAGCAGCTGCTGTGGAGGAGAATGATGAGACTGCTCCCGTAAAGATTTACAGCCTCAGAAACCCTTTACAGGGTTGTTACGAGTCAGAACTGACTCAATGGAACACAACCCTCAGCTATGTCATTATGCCACAGGTCCCTAGTTGGGCGTCTTGTACATAAAGTTTATGTTAACTCCTTGATATTTAGTTTGTATTTCCAATAGTCCAGGTAAATTAATATCATGACACATTGAATTTGGTGCCTTCTTAAGTCTATCTGGGTACCCTGGGTGGTGCTCACATAGCCAGGCCAATCCTTAGAGGTACGTGCCAGAGGTGTATCGATTAGGGAGCTCCACAGGTGCAGATAAGGTGCAGCCATGTTTGGGACCCATCATTGTGGGTGTGTCCATCGCTGTGGGTCTCAGATTTGTGGAAGGTAGAGGGGCACAAGTTAGGGGAGGGAAATGTGCCAGGACTCCTCGTTTCCCAGACTGTTCCTTGTAGGATCACAGGATGTTGGTTCTCTGGAACTGAGCACTTATGCGACCGTCAAAGGGTGGAAGGTGAAGGTGGGTATGGGGGATGGTCTGAGGGGGCTAGTGGACCATGAGTATGGGAATTGGGCCACTTGGAGTCCTGGTGTGGTGCTGTGGAATAAGCACTGGACTGCTAACTGCAAAGTCAGTGGTTCAAACTCACAAGCCGCTCCTTGGAAACCCTATACAAGTTCTCTATGAGTCTGAACTGAATTGATAGTACTTAACAACATTGGGTCACCATGTTGTGACCATGACATGTGACCACCCTGCCCTTGTACTGAGCTGTCTAGATCGTTTGTACTCTGAGGTACAGTCTGCAGGAAAACTTGGCTCGGAGCACTTGTCCTGTCAGACCCTACCTGTCTCTTGAGGATGTTAGACATCACTGGGAGGGAAGGAGTCCTGTGGCTGCCCCAGGACAGATGACTAAGGCCCCCCAGGGAATGAGCACAGCTCAAAGCTCGGTGGGCTCACCTGTCCAACAGTGCCCTCCCTTAGCACTGCTGCTCTTGGGAGGTTTAAGGGCTGCAACTTTCTGTTGGGAAGCACCATCCTGAACCCCTAAGAAGGGAGGGCCTGCAGCTGCCTGCCTTTTGGAGGCTCAAACATTAAATGTATATGTGGATGGGGCCGTAAAGACAAGATGCTCAGTGCAGAAAGTACAACACAGTTAATGTAAAGTAGACATATAATTCCATCATGCAAAACAACAATGCCTAGTTTACCAGAACACTTTCAAATAAAAAGAGACATGTTAAAATATTTATACTACTGCTTCTCAGGTAAAGCAGAGACTGTGAGTGGGCTTAGAAGTGTTTCAGTCCCTTTGCTGCTGGAACCCAGGCAGGGTTGGGGAGTTGGCGGTTTGGCGATGGGAGCTCCGTGGCAATGCAGGCTACTCTGGAGGGAATCTTTCCCAGGGGAACTTGGAGTGGAATCCCAACAGGCCAGATGGGAAGGGTTTTAGGGGTCAGTCTAACCCTCTGATTTGACCAAACAAGAAATGAAGGCCTGGGAAGGAGCACATCGCCATGGCTACCAGCCGGTGAGGGCCATGGAAAGCGGAGGCATGGTTGCAGTAGAATTCAGCCTCCTGACTTAGTGCCCCTGTTAGCTCACTCCTTGACCACTGAGTGCTTCTGACCTAACAGGCACTGTCTTAGGAACAGAACGTCATTGCTGTCAAATCGGTCCGACTCTTAGCAACCGTGTAGGACAGAGTACAACTGCTCCATAGGGTTTCCAAGGCTGTAATTCTTTACAGAAGCAGACTGTGCCATCTTCCGCTGTGGAGCAGCTGGTGGGTTCCAACCACCGACCTTTCGGTTACCATCTGAGTGTTTAATCACTGAGCCACCAGGACCTCCCTAGGAATAGGGATACAAGATAAATAGGGGATCATCTCCACTCTTGCTCAGCTCATGTGAGAGCTGTCACTTGGACACAGAAAAAGCGCCAGTTCTGTGAAGTTCAGAGTGCAGAGCAAGAGCCATTGCGGTGAAGGTCCAAGAAAGCCTCCACCTGCCAGCTGTGTGACCTGGCCAAAGTACTTAGCCTCTTGGTACCTCTGTTTCCCTGTCTGAACAAAAGGAATGGTGCCCATTTTCAGGGTTGTGAGGGTCATGAGAGGAAATAAAATAGGTAAAAGGACTTCAGGTAGTGCCTGGTAATCCATCTGTGGTAGCAGCTAGTGTTGTTAGTACTGTTGTTACTTCATTCACCTGAGCAAGCACTTTACACTCATGACTGCCTTGTGAGGCAGCGAGATTCTTGCCATTGAGTGGACTCAAACCCAAGTTGGATGACCAGGTTCTGAGGCTCTAGGGAAGACTCCTGCTTTGAGTAGGAAGTAGGGCTAGGTGAGCTCTATGATTCTGTTCCCTCTATGATCCTATGTTGTCATTATAGAGGAAAGAGGCAAAGCTGTTATGTTCCGTGCCAGGACTAGAATCCAAGCCTCAAGACGAGGTCTCCCCTTCATGGTTATTCAGGGCAGCCTGGGAACTAGGAATGTGTGAAGGCTGGCAGGATCTCAAAGAAGAAAATGGGAGGCTCTCTTGGGCTTTGAGCCACTATCAACAGGCCAGCTCCAGGTAGAAAAGGGTGTGGGATGATTGCTTTTGGTGCTCTCCACTAGCAGAGACTGGGGTGGAGTGGGGTAGTGAGGAGCTCTCTGGTCATGGGCAGAGCAGGCCGAGTTCACGGAGAAGTGGCAATGCTGTAACCTGACCCAGTCCTCCTCACAGCCTGTCCACTTGGCCTGGGCACCTGTGGTTTCAGTAGGAGAGGCAGGGAGGGATGTGCTGACCCAGCACGATGCCGCAATTGTGGCATTCTTCCCAGCTGTCCGGGGCCAAAAATAACAGTCCTCTCAGAGAGAAAGACAGGTGAAAGATGGCTCAGGACTTGTGTACAGGGCAAGAGTGCCTGGGCAGAGGCTCCGGGGCTCTAATAACCCCTAAATTGAGGGTCAGGGTTCCTGAGAGAACATTTGGCAAAGTGTGCTCTTCTAGCTCAGCCCCTCAGTGGGGCCCTGGATGCCAGGCATGGTGGGTACAGTAAAAGGTCTCTGGGTTAGGGGGAATGCCTGGGCTTCAGTACTGGCTCTGGCCCATATCAACTCTCTGACCCCAGACCCATACAGACAGAAAACACAACACAGGCGTGGGCTGCGATGATGCCACGGCCTCTCACTGTGAGGTCACTACAACATTGCTATCAGGCTGCCTCTGACTCCTGGAGACCCTATGTGTGTCCAAGTAGAACTGTGTTCCATAGGGCTCTCAGTGGCTGGTTTTTCAGAAGGTGATCACCAGGCCTTTCTTCCAAGCACTTCTGGGTAGACTCAAACCTCCAACCTTTTGGTTAGCAGCTGAGAGTGTTAGCCATTTGCACCACCCATGGACAGATGGTTAGCACACTTGGCTGCTAAGCAAGCATAGGAGGTTCGAATCTACCCAGAGGTGCCTTGGAAGAAAGGCCTGGCAATCTACTTTTGAAAACTCAGTCACTGAAAATCCTGTGGACCACAGTCCTACTCTGGCACACACGGGGCTGTCTGGAGTCAAAATGGACTTTGAAGCAATTGCTTTGGTTTAATGGTGATCCCAATTCAACCTGCTTCTCAGGCTTGTGAAGTCTGGACAGGTGTCGGGAGTTGAAGACAGCCTGGGAGACAGGGCAGCTGA